AGATTTGCTTGCTGTCTTGGGGAGAGGGGAGGGAGAAAAATTTGGAACTCAAAATCTTATAAAAAATGAATGCTAAAAACTATCTTTACATGTAATTGAAAAAAAAATACTCTCTACAAAAAAAGAGATAGAGTCTTACTAGATGTAAAATAGCCAAGTTTGATAGCATTAAATTTAAAATGTTATGAATAAACAAAATTAATGCAACCAAGATTAGAAAGAAAGCAGAGAAGCTGGGAAATTTTTTTTACAGCAGATGACTCTTAGAAAGGCCTCATTTCTTAATAAAGAATTGAGTTAAATTTATAAAAATAAAAGCCATTCCCCAATTGGTAAACGTTCAAAGGATATAAATGGGCAGTTTTCAGATGAAGAAATCAAAGCTATCTATAGTCATATAAAAACAATATTACAAATCACTATAGATTAGAGAAATGCAAATTAAAACAACTGAGCTACTACCTCATGCCTATCAAATTGGCTAATATCACAGAAAAGGAAAATGATAAATGCTGGAGGGGATATGGGAAAATTGGGACACTAATCCACTGTTGGTGGAGTTGGGAACTGATCAAACCATTCTTGAATGCAATTTGAAACTATGCCCAAAAGCCTATAAAACTTTGCACATCCCTTGACCTGGCAATAACACTACTTGGTCTGTAACTCAAAGAGATTTTTTTAAAGGGGGAAAGGACCTAGTTGTACAAACTATTTATAATGGCTCTTTTCATGGCAAACAATTGGAAATTAAGGGGATTCCCATCCATCGTAGAATGGCTAAACAAGTTGTGTTATATGGTTGGGATGGAATATGTACTATTGTGTTATAAGAAATGATAAGCAAGATGATTTCAGAAAAACCTGAAAAGACTTAGATGAACTGATGCAAAGTAAATTTAGCAGGAGCAGGAGAACATTGTACACAGTAACAACAATATTGTATGATCATCTGTGAATGACTTAGCTATTCTCAGAAATACAATGATCCCAAGACAATTCCACAGGACTACCCACCTCCAGAAAAAGAACTGCTGGAGTGAGAATGCAGATCAAAGCAATACTGTGTTTCATTTTATTTTCTTCATGGTTTGCTGTTTTGTCTGTGTCTTCTTTCACAACTTGACTAATATGGAAACGTTTTACACGAATGCACGTGTATAACCTATATCAAACTGCTTACCATCTTGGGAGAGGAGTGTTGGGAAGGAGAAAATTTGAAACTCAAAATTTCAAAAAAATGAATGTTGAAAATTGTCTTTACATATAATTGGGAAGCATTTTTTTTTAAAGAAGAGAGTAAGAGATGTCAAATGCAAGTTTAATTCATTTTGTGAATGTTCTCCCAGATGACCCCTCTCCCAGACTGACTTTCAGAAACTCTCATTTTGACTTGTCTCCTAGTTCCCCATAGAGAAGTTATGGAAGTTGTTATGCCTTTGGATACAAGTATAACTTCTGTCTCTAAGTAGGGAGAAAACTCAATCCTCCCATTAAGGTATTTTTATTATTTAAATAGCTAGGTAGAGAGGCAGGATGGAGTAGTACACAGGGAACTGACCTACAAACCAGAAACAGGTAGTTTCAAGTCTTTCGCTGGCTCATACTGGCTGGTAGGACCACAGGCAAGTCAATTAACTTCTAGGCAACTAAGACTATAATTTGCAGACATGTGTTCATATACAGTAAGTAGGGAGAATGCCTCACTGGGAACACATAATGCTGATGAAATCACAGATATGACTAAAAAAAAAAGCAAATTAACTGAAATCTCTTCCTTAGCATAGGGCTACTACAACAAAGTATTGCTCCAAAGGTTGGTTTGGGAATCAATGAAGATACAGTATGGCCAGAGATGGCCAGATTCTACAGAGCTGATATTCGGTATGAAGAATGATGAGAAGAAAGAAAAGAAACAAGCAATTAATTTATCAAGCCTACTACAGACCAGACAGTATGCTAAGCACTTTAAAATATCTCGTTTGATCCTACCTACCATAAGAGGTAGTTGCTATGATTTTCCAAATTTTACAGTTGAGGAAACTGAGGCAAACAGAGATTAATTCACTTGCCAAGGGTCATATAACTAGTGAGTATCCAAAGTCACATTTGAATCCAAGTCTTTCTGACTCTGGATCTAGCAGCACTCCATCCACTTTGACACCTAGTTGCCTCCTCATGTGATACTGACCATGATTAAATAATATACTATAATGACTTGAGAGGAAAAAGTCTACTCGCCTAATCTGTGTAGATGAAATTTTGGATCCTTTTCCAAAAGAAAGGTTTTCTCTCAAATAACAAGTTTCATGTGTGTTGAATCTCCTGTCTTAGATGGCAAGCCTTGGAGTCTAACCATATTCAACTTATCTTACATATTATCACGGCATCATCAGACATAATACTCAAACTAAAACCAGCATTTAATTTATTAAATATATACTATGGGCCAAGCAATGTTCTAAGCACTTTATAAATATAGCCTCATTGATCGTTTATAAATACTTTATTTGATACTCAATAAAGATTGGAATATTTGGTGATGAAGACTGACAAAATAAACAATTTTTTTAAAAAACTTCTGAAATTTTAATTTTTTTTCATAGAATTGTGAAATACTATAGAAATCAACTTGGCACATTTTCTGTTAAGAAAAAAAATGTTCTCCTGAAGTTTCTGCATCTAGTATTTTGACATTATTGTTGTTTTTATGTACATCTTCTTACTATTTTTTCTATCTTCAGATCATAAAATTTTATAGTAGAAAGGAACTTTAGACATCATCGACTATTTAACCTTCCTATTTTACAGAAGAGGACACTGAAACCCAGAATAGTAAAGAGGCTTGCCAACATCACAGAGCTGATGTGAGTTGAGCCTAGAATCAACATCTCCTCCTGACCAGTGATCTTTGTGCAACATGTGGCTTTGTTAGGGGAAAAATATAAGCCTCCAAAACAGATCTCACAGTACAGCTATTTATTACGAAGTAAGTCACAGCTCAGAGAAAGTGAGTAGCCAAACGGAAAGGTAAAAAAGAGAGGGGAGTTGTTGCCCAACTGGAACTGGCCAGAATCACAGAGCTAGTAAGTGTCCAGGTCCCATTTGAACTCAAAGAAGATGAGTCTCCAGGCCTAACGCTATTTACTAAGCCACCTAGCTGTCCCTTGCATATAGGAGACATTAGTAAGGGGGAGAGAAAGGAGGGGACAATACTACATTCAATTTATCACTTCTTTTATAGATGAGGAAAATGAAGATTGAAGAAAACACTAAGTCAACATGAAGAAGTCTGGATCCTTCTAACCATATATTCTTTGTCCTTATCAAAGCCTACAATTCCCAAGGACCTGGGATGCAGTAAGAGGTAGGGCTAACTTACAACATACCACCCAAATCCCTGTGTTCTAAGTGCTTCATCCAGCAAAGAAGTGGACAAAACAGACCTGGAAGGATTGATTAAACACACATACCCCACACACCAGGATATCAAGTAAACACTCAATCCAGATAATGGAACCCAGGGCACATCCCTCCCTTCCTCCATAATTCTACTGGGATGCTCATAGCCCTTTTACAACTCTATTTTTTCTTTAAAAGCCTTCCTTTGATATTCATTCTAACTTAATTTCACCTATAAGGTGGGAAATGGGAGACAAAGGGAGGATTTCACAGAGCCCAGGATCTCAGACCACAACCTCCCTTCTCCAGGCATTCTTTTTCCACTAGTTTCCCTTGATATTCACCTTAGTTTAATTTCCCCAATAAAAATGGTGATTACATACATTCTTTCGACTGACCCCAGGAGGAGAAGTTACTGGTACCAAGAAATGGAAGCCATTGTTGTGGAAATGGGATGAGGAAGATTTTTTTGGGGGGGGGAGTGAACATCAGACTGTTAATCAAATGGGGGTAGAAGAAAAGACGGTAGCAGAATGAGATTGCTAGCAAAGGCACACCTAAAAGTGGGCCCCAAACTGAAACGGACGCAAAGGGTTCTTTATAGGTATGCAATGGTTGGTAGCCAGAGAATATTAAACATATTCCAAAGTATAGAAGCATAGAAGATGCTTTGAGTTCATAAAAATGAGGCCTTTGGTTCTGTGCTATTTACAATAATTTTGTTTAACAATTTCGTTTTATATGTAAAAGTATTCTTCTACTAGGTATATTCGTTTTTATGACTCTAGAGATGCTAACACAGAACTTTTTGCCAGTTCAGTTTAATGTGATAGTGTCAGGTGAGTTTAATCATCCATAAGATAAAATGGCAACTTTACTATTGGATTTTGGTAACAAGCCTGTACCTGTACAGATAGATGCCTGCCTTTCCCAAGTTTCTAGGACACAGAAGGAAACCTTTTTGAAAAATCCAGAGAAAGGAAGAATATACTCCAGTTTTCTTTTAGAGCTCATGAGTCTGGAGTCTGAAATTCAACTCGGAAAATGCGGAAGAAGCACTTTCTTCGAGCGGTGCACTAACCAGCAAGAAAGGAGCTGTTATTCGTCCTCCAATCAATACGGGGAGGGGAAGAGGGGTAAGGGGTTGTCACTGCTCTCAGCTTCCCTAGGTGTCTCTAGCAGCACTAAAAACAAGCCCAAATCTACTAAGACCCAGACTCCAAAAGGAGTCTGTATTCGCCCAAAGAAGAGATGTGGCGATACCAGAGCAGAGACACCATGTTTCTCCACTTACTCATTTAGCTCAATATCAGACCCACAAGCCAACAGGAAAGCGACGTAAACCCTAGCTCTCCACCCATCTTGGACAGGGCATCCACGATTTCTACTGTCGCCTTCTTCCCCTGCGCTGGGCATAAGCTTCCTTTTGGGGATGCTAAGTGGAACAGACAAGCAGTAGGTACCTCTGGTCCGCACACAGCACCCCCTATAGTCCTCTCCTCCCCGTCCCCCTTGTCCCCACCTCTTCTAGGCTGTCTCCGCCCTGAGGACAGAATGAAGAACCTCAAAGATGCTGCAGAGAAGAACCTTTCTTTTACCTGTGATAGTGCCTTTCGAAAAACATGGGGCAGCCACGAAAAGGAGGATACTGAGCGACAGAGGGAACCCACGAGCCCCCAGAGAGGAGCGCATGGTGCTGGTTAACGCTCTGCAGAGTACCCTTAATGAGACCCGGGAGGCAGGCGAGGCTGCGCTCCTCACTTCTGCCGGCCCGGCTGGACTGGAGGGTATCACTCGCTAGGGCCCCTGCACTCACGGAACGGGACTGGTCAGCAGTTTGTCCAAGGAGGAAGTGTAGATGTGGGTGGGGAGAGGAGTAGCTTAGAGAAAAGCTAGGTGGGAGGGGCGAGGCTAACCTTTCCTCCTCCCCCAGAAACCCTTCCTTTCCCACCCCCACCCCAACCCCCGGAACAGTCTTGAATAGTACATGATGCCTCCATCTATTATTCAGCCTGTCACTTCCAGCTGGTTTATCTCCACTGTGAAGTGGCTACCAACCCCACCTCAACATCCTTTCTCAACCTAAGAGCTTAAGAAAAACTAAACAAAATTGGCCTTACAGATTCCAATAACTGTGACCTGGGAAGGTGCTGAAGTTGTTAGGCAGCTTGCACCCAATTATTTTGATTACGCACATAGGAAGAAGAAAAGGTAACTTTCTCCCCAAGTGTCTTTATTTTAGAGGCTTCTTTTTTCATTTACCGGCCAATATTTGCCTCAGTATCTTCATTTCTCACATGAGGGGGCTTGAACTAAATGATCCCTAAGATCCCTTTCAGCTGTGACATTCTATGAGATCCTTTAATGAAGCAAGCCGGTTTCACAATGGATTAAACTTTCGTCCCCTCTCTGCTTACCATAAAATCTCAAGAGGCCTGTTCTCTGAAGGTTAAGGTTGGCAATCTCCCGCCTCCCACGGAGAGACTATGTGTTTTCCTTTGTTTAGCAAAGATACACTTTGAAATAGTTGCATAGAGCCTGAGTGGGGGAAAAAAAAACAAAAAAACCAACCTAAAATAGAGTAAATATACTGTACATTGTTCTCACTCAAGCACATTCCGGGGAGTGTGGGGGAGGGGAAGACAGGTAACTAACCTGTGGTACAATGGCTTGGAATGTCCAATGCTCAATAAAAAATAAAACAAATAAAATGTATTCAGTGCAGTTACAGCATTACAATATTAAAGGGTAATAATAATAGGTGATATTATTGGACTATATATTTTTTTCCATTAAAAATTGCAAGGTTTTTTTTTTCTCTCAAAGCTGGAATCCTTCCTTTATTAATGTGGAACACAAAATTTCAGAGACATGAAATGGCACAGGGACACAGTCTCTGCCAGCAGGTCATACAGTTTCGAACAGAAAATGAGCAGTTGAGTTCTAACAATTTATATAATACTGTGATAATCAACATTTAAAATGCTCCATCACAGTTCATTTCCATGTCATCTCCATCTTAACTCTTTGATGCAGGGGGAGGAAGAGTGAAGCTGGAATCACAGAACTTCTGAGTTCAAATCCCCATTGTGATACTGACTATGACTTTAGGCAAGTTATTAACTTTTCTGGACCTCAGTTTCCTCATCTATAAAAACTGAGAGGCTGTATTAGACAACCTCTAAGGTCCCTCTCATCTCTAATTCTATGATTCATTTCAGATAGAATTAAAAGAGGGAGTAATTAGCAGTATATGGAAGCTTTAAACAGAACAAAAGCCATATTCTTTTCTGCTACTGTTATGTGGAGGAGAAGTTGTCAATTATATAAATATCAGTATATTTCATATCATATAACCACAAACTTGGAAAGTAATTTAGTGGAGCTCTCGAAATTGGATAGTTACAAAATATGGATCAAGTATCTTCCTACAATTAATTTTATAGAGAATATGGTGGTTGTGTTCAAAACAGTCTTTAGAGAAAAAATAGTTTGTAAAATTATTAATCAGAGAAAAGCTTTTTAATATCAAGAAAAATGATCAATTCACTATATTGTTTGCTTTGGTGAACAGTATAAGGTATGGGTGATAATCCCAGGTATTTGGGGTACAAGTCACATTGAAGAGTTATCACTCTTCCTATGTGCCCTTATGTAATATGAGGTCAATGTGACTTCAACCCTCTGATTATATTTTCTTGAGCTTTTTTTTTCCTATGGAAAATGAGTCATTCAAGTGTTGAACCAAATGGACTGTGTTACTGAAGTCATTTGTCTGTATTACTAATATAGTTCAAATGAGTTTTTAAATTGCAAGTGTGAAAACAAATGAGCAATGAGTTAATGAATGACTAATGAATAAGTAAATTTTAATTAACAGGTCACAGAGCCAAACCTGTGACTTCATGACCTGAAAAGCAAATTGGTAGACTTGAATATGCCTGAATTGGGAGTAGGTGAGAAAAATTTCTATCAGCATATTCTAATATTAAGTTCATGTCTTGGAGAGCTGAAAATAGGATAAAAGAATGAAAAACATTTATTAAGTTCCATATGACAGGTACTATGCTCATATGTCTTTGTAGATATGCTGTAACATATAGAATGTGATAAAAATTCATTATAAAATTAAATATAGCATGGTAGAGAGGAAAGAATGCTTAATTTGTTGTCAGAGGACTTAGCTTTGAATCTCACTTCGGTTGCTCACAAGTTGTGTGATCTCAGGTAAGTCACCCTAACCTCTATGGAATTCATTTTCTTTGAGGAAGCTAGGGGCTTCACTCACAAGGCCTTACTCAGCAAAGAAAGATGTAAGTCAATCTGTAGATCCTTCAGATTTGGAGCAGGAGGTAGCCTGAACAACATGAACAAAGACAATTTTTAAAATTAATAGTTTAGCTTTACCAAGACATTAATCAATTAAAAAAAAAATTTACCATGCAACAACAACTACAACAACAAATGTTCCAGGCACTGTGCTAAGCACTGGGGATACAAAAACAGACAAAAGATAGTCCCTGCCCTCATGGAACTTGCAATCTTTTGAGGGAGATAAAGTGCAAACAAGTGTATACTAAGCAAGCTGTACACAGGATAAAACTCTTAGAGATCCCATTTGGGTTCTTTCAGTTTTCCTGCTCAGTGCTCTATCCACTGCACCATAATTAATAGAGGGAAGGGACTAGAAGTAAAAGATTAGGAAAGGCTTCCTATAGATATAAAAGATGGACTTAATTTGGACGTAAAGGAATCCAGGGAAGTCAATAAACTGAGATGAAGAAGATAAGCATTCCAGGTACGCCCAGATCTGGGAGGTAGATTGTCTTTTCAAGGAACAACCAGGAAGTCAGTGATACTGGATCAAAGAGTATGTGATAGAAGACTGAAAAGGGGGAGGCAGGTGGGGAACATGCTAGCTTATGGAAGGCTTTGAATGCCTTTTGTATTTGATCATGGAGGCAATAGGGAGCCATTGTAGATTATTGAGTAATAGGGTATCATGGTCAGGCCTACACTTTAGGAAAATCATTTTAATGGCTGAATGGAAAATAGATTGGAGTGAAGAGAGACTTATGACAGGCAAACCCACTCTCAAGTTATTGCAATAGTGAGGTGATGAGGGCCTGCACTAGACTGGTGGCCCAGTGGTCAGCAGAGAAGGGCATTATGGAAATGATGTAAAAGTGAGATCTTTCTTTGATAAGAGTGAACCTAAACTAGTTCCTGCTAATTCCCTTCCAGAATTTGTAGCACACTGAGCTAGACTAATATGGATAGAATGTTGAACTTTGAGTCAGGAAGAGTTGGATTAAAATCCCCCATTCTCTTCCTTGGTTCATCAACTATGTGGCCTTGGGCAAACTATCTATGGGAAGGGGGGACAGGCAGAACCTACTACCTCTAAACCACATTTTGCCTTCTAGGTCCTTGCCTGTGGCTTTTTGACCGAGTCCAAGTTTTATAGAACAAATCCTTTTATTAAGGGGATTTGTTCTGTGAAGTTTGGATACAGTCAAAAGGCCACATTTGAGGACCTAGAGGGCCACATGTGACCTTGAGGCTACAGATTCCCCACCCCTGACTTCTAACCTTTATGAACTCCCCCCACAAATTCCTCTAGACACATATGGCTATATAGTTCTATCCTTGTCTTGTGTCTGGCCAATCCCTGAAGGGAGCCTAGCTGGTCAAGGAGCCTAACTTCTGAAATTGCCCCTGATCACACATGTACACACCCAATCAACCACACATTGTCATGCTTGAGAGTAAATAGGGAGTTGCTAACACATACACTTATGCCCTTGCCTTCCTGTGGAGACATTAACCAAGTAAAGCACGCTAACCTCTCCCAAGCAGCATATTCATTAATACCACTCATTCAATTGCCATTGTAAATACTCAGAGTAAGTTGAAGTATTTTAGGGTCAAACATTACAAAAACAGTATTTTGGGGGAAAAAATATCTGGTAGTTCTAAAAGAAAAAAAAGGCAGGTGGTATTTTGGCTAAGCTAGGTGGCATAGTGGATAGACTGTCAGGAAGACATCTTCCCAAGTTCAAATCTGGCCTCAGATACTTACTATCTGTGTCACCCTGAGCAAGTCATTTAGTGTTTGCCTCAGTTTCCTTATCTGTAAAATGATCTGGAGAAGGAAATGACAAACAACCCCAGTGTCTTTGCCAAGAAAACCCTAAACGGGGTCACAAAGAATTGGACACAACTGAACAACAACCCCTTCTGAAATCTCCTTAACCACAAATAAGATGTGATTTGGTTCACAAGACAAAGGTAAGACAGTCCCAATGAGGAAGTGGGTTGTGTCATCTCAGCTCCTCCCTATTACATTATTCGGAGATGAGACTGGTTCTCAGGTAAAGGGAGTATTTCTGAGACATGGGAATAGTCTACAGGAGATGGGAGTTACTACAACAGTTTAGATTGAGGACACTGACCTTTAACAAATTTCTCTGGAATATGGGTGGTGGATTAAGTTCCAAAGAAGGAGATGTAAGTTTCAACACAAAATGGAGGTATTGTTACAAGACAAGAATTGTGAAACAAGTGACCTGAGGTTACCTGAGTAAAATGTATGCCCAAGGGGAATATTAAAGCTAGCCTGATTAAGTCTTAACAAAATAGAATTAAAAGTCAATTTTCAATTTCTCAATTCACCCCTTTGATTTTTGGGAAGCCATGCCTCCCATTAATGACTTAGCCTGATTAAAGTTATAAATCAACGTATAACAAAAATCAATGTCTATCAGTCTATAATTTCAGTAAAACTCAAGTAATGACTGCAGAAACAAAAATGCTGTGAATAAGAAATTTGTGTCATTGTGAACCATCATGTGTTTCT